TCGATCCCGCACCCCCACCCCCACCGCCACCCCTGGAGCTGGCCGGGCCACACGTGCTCAGGGCCTCGCAGAGCCTTCCTGAGCGGGGTCTGCGTCAGAAGGGGGGACACTGGATCGTGGAGCCCTGAACCTGAGCTCGGGTTTTCCTCAGCTCCGTTGTTTCCTTAGTAGAGGAAAGCAGGCGGTGAGAGGATGGCTGCCACGGGCGCCTCCGGAGGAGATGGCGCATTAGGGCCCCTTCTTTCCTTGCGTCGCCCTAGAGCTCTGAGGTTCTGTGCCGGGGACTAACTGCCAAACAGTGGCGGGCGGGGCCGGTGTCCTGCGCTGAGCACGGCGCAGAGCCCTCTACCTGCATCTCTCCTGTCATCCTCACAGGAACCTCATGGGGTGGAAGCTGTTTATTATGGTCCCATGTCACAGATGAGGAAGCTGGGGGCTCAGGGTGGTGGAGGGGTGGTGAGATGTCGGGTTAGGGTGCCTTTTGCAGGCAGAAACAATAAGGTTTCCTAAAGGATTGTGGATAGAAATGAGAGAGACGAACCCAGGATCTGGCTTAGCATTTGGAAGGGTGGCACTGCTATTCAGGCGGACAGACTACAGAGCCTCAGGTTTGTGGGGAAGATGGGCGAGTTCATGAGTGGTGACACGGTGGCAGCGTCCAGGCAGAGATGAGGAGCCGACGGCTGGATTTCGGGGGGAGCTTCAGGGGCATCATGCTGAGGATACAAATGGGGAGGGTCCGTGGATGGTCTCTGAAGCCGTGAGACTGTCCGAGGTCACCTGTTTCCAGCACGCTCGTCCTGGGGCTTTGTGGGGGCTGTTCCTTGTTCAGACTCTGCCTGGAGGTCGCCTCAGCCAGGCCTTGCCCGACCGCCTCCTGCTCTCCTCGCAGCCGCTCGCCCCTGGCGTCATCTGAACTTGGCTCTTGACTGGCTTGCTGGGGCTGCTCTGCCGTGAGCCGCAGGAGGCCTTGTCTGCCCGGCCCTGTCCTTTGTTCCCAGGGCCTGGGTCTGCCTGGCCCAGAGTAGGCCTGGGGAGGGGAGCGAGGACTGTCCCATCACTGCTTGGGGGTCAGTGTTCTTTCCCTGGACCTCAGGCTCCACCCCGCTTTGGCAGCCAGATGTGTGTTGAGCACCAGTTGTGTGCAAAGCGCGGTTGGCAAAGAACAGCTCGACCCCCTGCTGTGAAGTTGGGGTTTGCGAGGAGTATGTATAAGGTCCGCTCGCACAAACCCCTTCCAGCCACAGCCTGAGTGTGTGTTGATGAGCTGGCTCTTGGGGAGCCCCGGAGGGCGGCGCTGGTCTCCAGGGGAGCTGCCCCAGATGAGAGGGGGCAGAGGGCTGGAGGCCGGCGCAGTCAGCCCCTGTAGCGAAGCCTCCATACAGCTGCAGAGGATGGGGCTTGGGGAACTCCCGGGTCGGGACAGGCAGAGGTACTGGGGTTACAGAGTGCTCCCCGGTACTTCCAGTGTCCACATGGCAGCACAGTCATCACCACCTACGGACTGTATGTCTGAGTCTCTTCCCTCTGGCTGTTCCTCAGTTACGCCATCTTGTGATAAACGGGTGATTTAGTAAGTTAAAGGTCTCTGGGTCCTGTGAGCTGCTCTAGCAACTCGGTCAAACCCGAGGAGGGGGTCACAGGAGCCTCCATGGTCACTCAGTTCACGTGACGCCTGGACTTGCAGCTGGCGGAAGTGGGGGTGCCAAGCCTTCCGTTGTGGGATCTAATGCCGGCCCCAGGTAGACTGTGTCAGCAGGGACTTGAGTTGTAGGACACCAGCTGGTGTGGGGGAGTCGCTTGGTGTGAAAAGCCCCTCACGTCAGAACTCGGGTCCGATCCAGAGCAGGATGGAGGCCAGAGGAGAGTAGCAGAGCGGGAGGGGCGTCCAGTGGGCACTGTGGCGTCTCAGGACGGAGAAGGGGCTGGGTCCAGAGGCCCGGAGGCTGGGAGGGGGCATGACTGGGTGGGTGCAGAGCCACCCTCAGCCCGGGGACGTCAGGCGTTCTCACTCAGAGGGTCCTGACTTGTGGACCCCAAATGCTCTGTCTGGGATGGACGTGCGGGGCAGTGGCCCTGGTTCCAACCCTGTTGCTGGTCCAGCTTCTGAAACTGGTGAGTCGAGTTTCCGGGGTGAAGGAGCGTCTGCTCGCTCCCCGGGACTCCTCACCGCTCCTTCTTCCAGCCTGTGCATCGCTCCTTCCCTCTCCGCCTCTGCTTGGTGCAGCCCCAGGCACTAGGGGGTGGTGGCTTCTGTCCCAGTTCAGATCCCCGAGTGACCTTGAAAGGTAGCCCCGGAGCCATGTCACGAGGTTCACCCCTCCCACGGTCACAGCACCTGCCCTTTGCTTTTGTAGCTGTCAGGTCACACCTCCTGCCTCACTGGGTGGGAGCTGCGGGGCAGGTGGGCCTCCGCCTCCAGCCTGGACAGGGTGGGGGGCAGGGGCATGGCTGACACCCCCCTTCCCGTCTCAGGCGGCTTCTGGCACAGCAGCCTGATCGACCGAAACCTCATCGACTACTTTGTCCCGTTCCTCCCGCTGGAGTACAAACACCTGAAAATGTGCATCCGCGTGGAGATGCGGGCCCGCGGCTACGACGTGGACGAGGGCCTCGTCACCAGGGTGGCCGACGAGATGACCTTCTTCCCCCGAGAGGAGAGGGTCTTCTCGGACAAGGGCTGCAAAACCGTGTTCACCAAGTTGGACTATTACTATGACGACTGACGGCCGGGAGCCTGCCGCTGGGAAGCTGTGGGACCGTCCTGCCTCCCGGGATTCTGTCCCCAGGCCAGCATCTCCGGGCCTCGGGCTCATCCGGCGCAGCCTCAGGCCGTCTCCTCACTGGTGGTGGCCTCGAAGCAGCCCCGGCGCCTTCAGGAAGGAGGTGGCTTCCCTCGGCCCACTCGGATCAGGGCTCATGATTTTTTAAAAATCATGTTTTAAAGTCAAGCATTTCTGTTTTCAAGGAAAGATGAAAAAATTTTACTGAAAATGTGAAATTTTACTTAAAATGGTTTTTAACATTCCGAGAAACTTTTCAGACTCTCAATGCTGGCTTTGTGTGGTTTTTCAAGTCCCTGTCATTGTCACACACACCGTGACATCTTTGCTGCAAAGAGCCCCGAGTCCTCGGCACGTGTCCGCAGGTGGGGACCGAGGCTGAGCAGTGCCCAGGCCCGTCACAGGCAGCCATCGCGAGGGGCAGCGCAGTGTTCAGACGACAGGACGCGGGCAGAAGAAGACACAGGCACGTCACAGAGGAGCCTGCAGTGTCCTTCCCAGGAGTCTTCCTCGTAGCCCTGCGACACTTGTCAGTTTCCCTGAAGGAAAGTTCCGGCTCATCGCGGGCCAGCTGGTGAGCTGGCCGAGAAGACCCCCTGCCTCCCATTCCCCAGGGAGCCACGTACTCGGGCAGGTTTTGCCATATTTTTAAAAACCTTATTTATTACTACTTCCTGTGTTTAATTAGAACTCCCAATATCTCCTGGGAGAGCTTAGCTGCCCCCCCACCCGAGGATGCTGAGGACAGTTTTTTACTCATGCCAGCAGCTACCATCTTACCATAAAACTAGTTTCTGATTCATTGTCGAAAGAGAAAATCCCCTCCCCGTAGCCTTACCTGCTTAAGCTATGAATGAAGCCCTGGCAGGAGCAGGCCAGGCCGAGTCACACGGAGTCCAACGCAGAGACCAAGGATCCCGGGACCGCGCGGCTCCTCGCCCAGCTTGGGGTGTTGCACACCGTGGTGGGGCTCATGGGGCTCAGTCCGGAGGTGCCAGGCAGGAGGGTGGAGCACTGCAGACTAAACTTACCTTGTTGTGAACTCTCCAGGACACCCACAAACAGGCGGGGCTCCTGGGGTGTGAGTGCCAGAGCCGTGCTCACGGGGACAGGTCTCAGCAGGCACAGGTGGGTCAACAGCCTGGCTGCTGGGCTGGCATAGGCCCCCGTGGCCGCACGGCTGCTAGGCCTGGACACAGGCTCCTTCGGCGCCCGGCCCCCCAGGGCAGCTCTCCATGGTGCTGAGTTCTGACGTTGAGCCTGGGCTGGGCTGTTGTCAGGGCTCCTGCCGGGCTGCGGGCTCCGTCCCCAGTAGGGGGCGAGCAGGAGGCGGCCGATCGGTGACTCTCATTGGTGTTTCTATGTCTCTCTCCCTTCCTCTCTCTCCGAAATCAATAAAAATATATTAACAAAAAAGCCATTTAAAGAAATGAGGGGAGTGGGGGCAGTGATGGTGGAGGTGTGAACTCCCCGGAAAGCCCGCCAGCTCCTCCACTGCCTCGCTGATGGGTGAGGCCAGGCGGGGACTGAGCTGAGGTCTGGGTAACAGCTAGGATTTCACCGCCGGTCCTGGGCGGGAAGACCTGGCCGTGTTTCCTGCTCAGCCAAATGCCCGCAGTCCCGTTTCCCCAAGTCTCGGTCCCCTTCCTCCGGTCATCTGAGAGTGCATTAGAAGTCCAGCTCTTTCTGATACTATCTCCACCCGAGAAAATACGACGGGAGCACAGCCCACCATCTAACCCAGTTTGACTTTGTACCTGGGACATCAGCCTCTAAGGTACGACGCACGCAGACTGCCACCCAGCACGTCCCGGGCACAGAGCCCAGCATCTGAGTTATGGAAGAGCCTTTATTCCAAGCTCAAACTTCCCAGCTACCAAATACACAAACTAGGGAAAAAGTTGCAGACGGCATCTCACATGATAAAATTCTGGCTTTATTATTTCATATTCATCAGGTCAATTCAAGCTCCGTCTACATCTCGTCCCCGAGCTGGGGAGTGGGGGGCAAGGGGGCTGGGCCATGGCCAACCGAGGCCTTTTCAAGTTACAGATCGTTCATAGCCCAAGGGCGGCCAACGCTGTTGAGTTGACTGCATCATGGCAAACAGAAAACCTTGTCTCCTCTGGACCAGACACCCAAAAGCTTAGCTCCAACTTGACCATTTGTACTAAAATTTAAGCATCACTTTGGCATTTGTAAAGGACTCGTGTGACCCTCAGTAGAGCCCCCATCCCATAACAATACTCATCCCCCCACACCTGCATGAAAAGGCTGTCGTCATCACGCCTGCAGCCCCACTGCAGCCGCTGGGCAGACGGCCCACGGCCCACGCCAGCTGGAACCGTCTGCTTTCCCAACGACCGCAGCAGCCCAGCTGGCACTGCCACAGGGTGTCGCTGTCGGGAGACACCAGGACCAGCCACAACCTCAGCCTGGCCTACTTTGTTCAGTAATTGTGGCCAACGTCACCACTCGGGTAACAATAAATTACACCCTTTGTTTTCAGTTTCTGAAAAAGTACAGGCAATTGTTCCACATGTGTCCTTCCCGTGTTTTAAAATAAGCAATGTCCTAGACGTGTGTCCTCTAAGATTCAGACGTAAAAACATTATAAAGATACACCCTTGCGGCTGGCGTGGCTCGGTGGCTGAGCATCTGCCCACGCACCGGGAGGTCACGGCTGGGCTCCCGTCAGGGCCCGGGCCCGGGGGTCCGGCTGGACCCCCAGCAGGGGGCGCGCAGGAGGCAGCCCACGAATGGCTCGCTCATCGCTGATGTTTCTCTCCTCCCTCTCCTTTCCTCTTTGAAGTAAACAAAAACATATTTAAAATATAGAAACTCTAGTGTTTCTCGTGTGCGATGCTTCCACTTTGGCAACACAGAATCTGCAAGCCGACCCCTCGGTCTGGGCGTGTCATCCTCAGAGAAGAGCATGTCCTCGGCTGTCAGTCGGTTCTGTGGGACAGAGCGAGACCGACCCGCCTATAAACTGTAGTAGACAAACATTTCACTGCTCAAATTCAAAACCAACACTCTCGCTCCGGTTCGACTCTAGGGGTGACTTGGGGGGGGTAGCCAGTGGTTGCTGACGCTCAGTAGGAGCCACAGGGAGAGGTATGCGGAGGGCTCCACAAGCAGCCAGAGCAACGGCCAGACTGCGAGGTCCCGTCCGCCACAGTCTGTCGCGTAGGCCGGGACGGAGCCCCCGGCCACGTCCTCCCCCGGCCGCTGCCTGCGGGGCACGCCGTGTGCGAGGAAGAACCAGAGGGGAGCAGGTTTCCGGCAGGTGGAGACCTAGTGCTCCCAGCGAGCAGCAGGCCCCGAACTCCAGGACAGACAGCAGCTCCTGGGGTCGGACAGTCCCGGGTCTCGCGCAGACCACTGCTTCCAGGCACTTCTGTCC